CAAATGTATCCCATAAGTCAACACACTGGTCCTACGTACATCGCGCCTTCGAGTGCGGTATCGTATCCACAAGTTAACTCAAGGTCGGCGTTCCAGCCTATACAGAGCCCAAGAAAAAACACTGTCCGAACGCCGACATCTGATTCCGGGCCGATTACGACGCATGTAAATACAGTGCAAGTACTGCCGACGTCAACTTGTTTAAACCGTAATGTCGTGAATGACAGCATGGTACGGTACCAGGAAGGGGTACCGGTGGTTTGAGAAGTAAAAATACCGACCAGGGGTGTCTAAAACGAATATTTGAATACATTCAGAATTAGTTCAATTCGATAATAAATAAATAAAGAATTTGAAATATTTTCATTCGAAATTTTGTCATTTTGCTTAGGCATTCAAAATCTGATCGACCACCCAAAAAATAAACAAATATTCGAATAAATTTAAAAATTGGGTATTTTCGATTTAATTATATCTTGATTTTAAGAATTATTTAAAATAACCATATGAAATGAAAACAATGCTCATCTCAACTATTTTACATCGGAAAATCAATTTTTATAATTTACAATAGTTTTTGTAAATTCCCCTTTTGAAGATGACCCATTTTGTAATATACTCAATTTTTTTAAAAATAATATTTCAAAATGTCTTTGTAATGATAAATTATTCGTTTTGGCCATCCCTGAAGATGGCGCTGTTGAGTAACAACTAACGCTTCATTATTGCTGTAATAAAGAGCAAAATTTGCATATGCAAATCAATATAAGCATGCCAAAGAGTCTACGCTTCGGAAAATTGGATATTTGCATTCCGAAATTTGGTAAATGAGCTTTCAAGGGGATGTCTGATAAGTCTAAAACTAGGAAAATAAAGAAATTAGCTATGTATGTACAGGTTGTTCATTAGGTCCTGAAAATATTTTAAATTGCAGGGAATTTACTGATAACATATATAGTTACCTACAGGTGCGTTAAAATGGGATAAAAACTTACTGAATACTGGATAAATTTAAACAAACCTGGTTAAGATATATCGAGAACTGACTTCATAACAAAATATTGAAATTGTAAAAGATCTTTATGTACACTCTAAACAATTGAATTGACTTGGACACCCTTGAAGGCTCATTTTTGCAGTAATTTTTACTTTTAATGCTTTAACATATTTTTGCTTTCGCAGAAAGTTTCACAATTTTTTAATTTTTTTTATTTTCATTCTAAAAGTTGCCGAATATTTACATGTTTATTGGTTAACTGTGCTTCATTTTGACTGTAAAAGCAAATTTTTATTTTTTTTCATTGGTTTTTAACAGACGTTAATAAATTGCAATGGGATGCCCAAAATGGAATATTAATTAGAAGTTAAATGAGATATAGGACTTATTTTATATACGATTTTTCTTTAAAAAAGGTCCGAGCTCTCAACTAAAAGTGGAAAAGTACTGATAGAAGAGTTACAACTACTGACATACTTCTTGCTATATTTAAGCTTGCTCTAAGCAAGTGAGGAAATTAAAATTTCCAGTCATGTCAAATTTTACTGATGACAAAATTTAACGTAATCACTGATATTCCAAAAATTATGCCATAAATCCTACCCATACATTCGAAATATCAAAAAACCAACATAGTTTGAATTCCAACAGTTTTGCATTGAGCTATACCTTTTTTGCAGTGGTCCAAACTGCAGCCCGCGGTCCAATTATGGCCCGCCTTACTATTTAATATGACCGGACAAACTTTTAAACACTTTTAATGACAATTGTTACGTCATTATCACAGTTTAAGCAGGTGTATATTCGTAACAATTCACTTATACCGGTATCGTAATTATACCGGCAATGTTCCCTCTAATTTTTTGTAATATGTGTGCCGCAGAAATTTTGGTGTGTGCGCACTTTTTTGGAAATGACTAATATTTGTGCAAAAACCAATGAAGAAATTTTGGCGTTCCAACCTGGTAATAAGTGGGCCAACAACAAAATTTCTCAACCTGCCAACCGAGCATATTGTTACATTACATCGAAATACGTCTGTGAACAGTAAAACTATGCGTGTGCGCGCGCACACCTTAGAGGGAACACTGCATACCGGTATCTGTCCCTTGCGAATATTCTTCTGCTTCTAATTTTGGCCCCATGGTCAATCCACTTTGGGAACACTGTTTTATAGGATTGAATTTACATTATATTATCTTGTTTACACATCCCACTTTACTCTGCTACCTATATTGTCTTGCCTGATAACACTTTTCAATCATTCCCGAAGTGTTTATTCATTCCTTCTTATTTATCACAAATCCCTGAGTCAACATTTTTGTGATTAGAACCTACAGTAATATACAGGGTGATCGCTAAAAGAACAGAAAATTTTTCATGTGATATTACAATCACAGATGCTCAAAATGTCACCCGTGCGCTTCAGAGCAGTGTCTCAACCTTGGAGTAGAAAGCTCATGTAACCTTTTGAAGGTTAACTTGTGGGATATTGTTCCATTGCAACCTATACCTATTCGCATTTTATTCGTGATCTCATCTGACTTTTATATGTCCTGCTTTTCTAGCGATCACCATGTTGTTATGAAGTCCATGTCTTTCGCATTCTGTTATACACATTATTTGTGTCGAAATTTATGGAAATAAATCTGATTCTGACATATTGTCATAGTAAATCCAAATTAGCTAACGTCACAATTCCCAAAAATCGAGTATTTTGATCTCCTGCAATAATGAACCAAGGACCATCTCTTGGAAGGGTTATGAAGCTGTACATGTATTAGTCCTGATTTTAGATAGTGCGTTATGTCCATTTTAATTCTGGCTGATTGATCTAAAAATTACATAAATGTGTTTTTTTTGAAAACCTTAAAATGTGACGCAAAAGCTAATTTAAATATACTGTGGCTATATATAGGGTGTCCATAAAGTCTTAAAATTTTATAAAATTGCAAACGGAATTTATCGATACCATATATTTTTCGGCCCTCACAGATGTATTAAATGAAGTAAAATACTTGTTAAGATATATTGAGAACTGACTTCATAACAAAATTGAAATTGTAAAGTGATATTATGGACACCTGTATATTATCAAATTGGCATATTAAATCAATCTTGCAAAAAGAGCCTTTCTTGAAAGTTGTATTTCGAGGCTAATAACTACTTTATTTAGCTTTACCATAGACAGATGCTTTGCTGTGCCAATTTTATGTTGCATTATGCATTTTTATTGTTATTATTCTATAGAGACTATTGCATAGAGTAAATAAAATGCTTCAATTAAACAACTGTGTTTACTGGGAATGCTGTCACTTAAGGTCAGTATTGTCATGAGTTTAGCGAGAATTTTAGGTCTTAGAAGGTCAACCGGTCAGTTATTTTCAATAATACAACGATGGTTTATGCGCCGATACCGGGGGGTGGGATTACTCTTTTTTTAGTTTGAGAGTAGTGAAAAGAAGTTTATTATCGAGAGTTGGCTCCACGAAAAATGAAATTAAATCTGGGGAAACTGTCACTCAATAGCAGAATTCGCACACTTTCAATTTACAGCTAAATAACAAAAGACTTATTTTCATTTTTCCATGAAGCCGACCCTCAATAATTGTATTATTAAAAAGAACGGTCTGATCAACTTCTAGGATGTGAAAATCACCGCTGAACCGAACCGAATCTGTTCAGCGGTGATTTTCACATCCTAGAAGTTGATCAGACCGTTCTTTTTAATAATACAATTATTGAGGGTCGGCTTCATGGAAAAATGAAAATAAGTCTTTTGTTATTTAGCTGTAAACTGAAAGTGTGCGAATTCTGCTACTCAGAGAGAAACGCCATGAAGGAATTTATTGCCTTCAAGCAAAGTTAGCGGTGCAACTCCATAAAGTCGAGTTAGTCACATAGTTAGGCCACACTGGTGGGTAATGGAGTGCAATTGTCAAGCTATTTTATTTTGGCCACTCGGACATATGACAAAACGACAACAAATGGTCTAACAAAATGCAGAGGACTTGGGGGACGAGCATAACTTAAGGAAAAAGCTAAAAGACGTACAAGTGCGCGCCCGTCCACCAGTCATTTTATTTAGATGACTCAAATCGGTTTTAATAAATTGTGAATTGAGTTAAGCTTTAATGGCGGATGGTTGGCAATTATAAATATCCGAGCTCATGATATGTTTGATAGTGTCAAAACTAACAGGGCTCGTTATGGCATATATTCCGAACCTTTTTGTTCGAGTTTATCAGTGATAAAAATCTCGGCGCACTTACATGAAAAAAAAAATTGCTGTCTTCAAATAAAACTCAATTTTGTGATTGATAATGTGTAGTTTATGCCTTTTAAAATTTGTAAACAAGTAGGCATCAGGTATGACGCAAAAGGTCAACTCATCTTCCTCATCTCTGCCTGATGTATGACGCAAAAGGTCAACTCATCTTCCTCATCTCTGCCTGATTTTCCTTCGAAATAATCACTTATTACCGCGATCGGTGCTCACCCGAGATATGCCACTAATCCCATACATAACACAAAATGTTATCCTAAAAATAACAACCCACAAGTCCCTGATCTGCCTAATGTGTGCTCACCACCTGGTGGGCTCTCTTGTTTTTTGTGATGCACTGCTTTACTGCTTGCTTTTATGAAGTGGATGTGAATCAATTGGTGATAGAATAATTGAGTGACAAATGATTGTTGGACTTTTCCTTACCATTGCAGAATGGGTTCTCCACCATGGAGTCTATGCATCTGACAACAGTAAGTGATAAATGAACAGAAAGCCGGGGCTCTTCTCATCCTGTTTACCTACTGCAAGACCCTGATTTACAGTGTGTCATGTAGCTAAGTAGCAAAGCTCTGTCTTCTATGAAATTTATGATAGCGTCGACTGAGTGATGATAAAATCTCTCTCTCTCTCTCATACCAGACTTTCTGAAACCTATGAGTTCTGTGACACCCATACCAATATATTCTCTAAATACCAAAATACAACTCCACTCACCCTGTTCCTGACCCAAAATCTTGAGTGTGCAGACATGTTGGCTTTTCTCCGGTGACGTCCCAAACTTTCAGCTCTTTCTGTCGACCCTGCGAAAAAAGTTAGGAACGCTTTCTTTAAAATTAAGAGTATATGCAATGGGACTTCAATCGTAGGGTGGTTCACGTCACCGCTGGTCTGTTCGGCTTCCTCCACCATCAAGTCCATGCTTCTGATAATAAATAACTGGCTAACTAATCCCATACTCGACATGGACTGGTAACCGGACGGGAGGCTATATGATTAAGTCGTCTTGTCAGCTTTCCTCTCCCCGTGATAAATATGCAAATCCTATCCTATACTTGAAGCTTGTCTAAAAAGAACTAAAATCAGAATACACTACACTCATCATACGTTACTCCCGTAGTGTGTGTGTACCAGGTTAAGGTTAGGGCATTATTTTATTCCGATTTCCTTTTTTTTAGTTCTATGACGAGTCAGGGATTGCCTGTGTTAGCCAAGTGAATACACCCCCCTGCCCATAGGCTTCACTCCCTTTACACAACTTGATGTAAAGTAGGTGAACAAAATTAGTTACCTCCATATTGGCACACACACTTCTGGAGCGCCCATCATACAATACATTTAATAATCTCTATTCATCGTACCCAACCACCTGCATAGCAAAAATATAAATATTCTTACACTTGAGAATCCAGTTGTAAAAACCTTATCTGACTCTCCTGCCCAGATAACTCTCGATTCTTTGTGATTAGCATGGGCTTCTCCAGATGTTATCACCTTCCCAGATCTGGGATCACAGATAAGAAGATAACGGTCCTGATAAGATAAAATAGTTTTTTTTATTTTTGTTTGTGAAGCTGCTCGCCTTGTTTGAAGCGCATCGTGTGACTGAGAATACTATGAATGACCACACATATTCCAGCTTCGAGCTTCCTATCAATAGCCATTATGATTCTAACGTTGCCCAACGTTGCCCTTTACTTCTGAATAAGTGCAAATAACGTTCGTCAAAGATGATTCTCCTTCATCCCTGAGTGAGTGCGCATAAGGTTGCTCACAGATGAGTCTCCTTTACTTCTAAAATGAGTGCGCATACCTTTGATCAGAGATGAGTCTCCTATACTTCTGAGTGAGCGCCTGTAACTTTGCTCAGAGATGAGTCTTCTTTACTCTTGTGTGCGTGCACATAACTTTGCTCAGAGATGAGTCTTCTTTACTTTTGAGTGAGTGCCCGTAACTTTGCTCAGAGATGAGTCTCCTTCATTTCTGAGTGAGTGCCCGTAACCTTGCTCAGAGATGAGTCTTCTTCATTTCTGAGTGAGTGCCCATAACTTTGCTCAGAGATGAGTCTCCTTTACTTCTGAGTGAGTGCCTGTAACTTTGCTCAGAGATGAGTCTTCTTCATTTCTGAGTAAGTGCCCATAACTTTGCCCAGAGATGAGTCTCCTTCATTTCTGAGTGAGTGCCCGTAACCTTGCTCAGAGATGAGTCTTCTTCATTTCTGAGTGAGTGCCCATAACTTTGCTCAGAGATGTGTCTCCTTTACTTCTGAGTGAGTGCCCGTAACTTTGCTCAGAGATGAGTCTCCTTTGCTTCTGTGTGAGTGCCCGTAACTTTGCTCAGAGATGAGTCTTCTTTAATTCTAAGTGAGTGCTCGTAACTTTGCTCAGTGATAAGTCACCTTTTCTTCTGAGAGAGTGCTGTAACTTTGCTCAGAGATGAGTCTACTTTACTTCTGAGTGAGTATTCAAAACCTTGCTTTGAGTAAAATTCCCTAAAACGCATCTCTCAACCATACTTCAATTCACCTTAGTCGTGGCCGCAATGTGGATTCCATTTTTTTTCCATGATATGCATTGAATCAAGTCTCTTCCTGTGTCCAGTTCTAGAAAACAAGAATTTGAAATTATAAGAAGAATATTTTATGTTCTCTATTACAATTCTTGATCAAAATCAATAAAAATATTTATCTTAGCTCCTAACAGGGGGTCAGGAATTCTCAAAGAGGGGTTCTGTAATTTCTAATTGTCAAGTTAGACCAGGGGTTCCCAAGCTTTTTTCAAGACGACCCACAAGACAACTTTCAAGTGTCCAGTGCGACCCCAGGTCAATATATATATTTTTCATGAAACTTTAGAGCTTCTTTCACTGGACTTTTGAGTTTAGTCATATGGTGGTATTAGGTAAAATAAGCTAAAACCCAACAGTGATGTCACAATAAACACCTACATTTTTAATAACAAAAGCATAGAGTGATGCCTATGGGCCTGTTTTACAGTAAGCCATGGTACAAACTGCTACATTTAACATGGTTTGTCAAATCTTAGATGAGTTGTACATCCATCCTCTACCATACCTCAACGACCCCACCGACCCCATGACCTTGTTGCCACCCTACCTATTTATCACTCCGACCCAATTTATGGTCACGACCCCTGGTTTGGGAACCCCTGAGTTAGACTGTAACAGCTAACAGGTTCGGCTGGGGACTGGAGAACTTAGGTTTATCAAGAGGGTCTAAAAGCGTTTCAAGCTACGAAAAATTGCCACATCTAATACAGAAAATTTGGGGCTCCCGAAGTATGCGAACCAAGATGGCGGACATCGGAACGTAACATGGAAAATTTGGGGCACCCGAAGTATGCGAACCAAGATGGCGGACATCGGAACGTAACATGGGTAACGGGTTAGGGTTAGGCGATAATTTTTTTACAATTTTCCTTATTTTAGTCCTATTATCAGTTCGAAAGCTAGCCAAGAGCCTCCCGTAGTATTTATAGCTAAAATTATAGCCTAACCCTAATCTAGTACACATATTACATTCCGATGTCCGCCATCTTGGTTCGCATACTTCGGGAGCCCCAAAATTTTTTTTTTTACATTTCAGGAAGAGGTGGTTCCGATCCGCAAACACGCTGACAAATAATTCACTTTATATCAATTTCTTATAATAAAAGCTTGGGAATGTATTCACTACTGGTTCTGAAAGAACCTCTCTGTCGCCCACTAGGGGGCTGATGGCCCAGTTTGAGGAACCCTGTATGGAGGGGCTATTGTGTCAAACGAAAATAATTGTAGCTTCTAATGTATCAGTGTGTGCTTGCCTAGATACTTGGTCGGAGTGAAAACACACAAGAAAAGAATCTTATTAAACAACTTACCGAATACCCTCTTTCCATTCTCAATATCATAAACATAGATCATAGAGCCAAAAGCGACAGCCAGAATATTTTCTGCAATTGGATGGAAGGAAATGCTTTCTGGTCGCTGCTTGAATTCTGCCAATGTTTGTATCGGTCCTTCACTGAAATTATCAGTGATCCCATCCAACGGAAGATCCCAAATTTTTACCTGTGAGAAGAGAAAGATGTTTTAAATCAAGTCCTATTTTAAGATCATTTTTAATTTATCTGTTCAACGTTAATTCAGGTTTGCCCAGAAAGCAAACAAAGGTGCCCACAGAGCAATCAGAGAGTGGCCACAATGCTAGGCACAAAAATCATTTTACTTTTCACTTTACAAGAAAACTCCCTGTTTTTTAGTAGTTTCATTGCTTGATAAGGTAATTTCACTGAATGTTTTTACTTTGTTAAGCATGAGTTTTTCAAACATAATGGGATTTGGAATTTACTACTAAAATTAACACTATAAATACCACTGGAATGGTAAAGGGATTTGGAATTTACTACTAAAATTAACACTATAAATACCACTGGAATGGTAAACGGGGGGCCGTGAGTGCTAAAAGCCTCCGGAAGGTGCAGTGGTGTGTTTAGAAGAAGGCCAAAGGGGCAACCGTCACGGGCAACACATTATAGGGGTGAGTTTGTTGCTTGGTGATTTGAATAATAATATTACAAACATTTTACTCTTATTTGACCTCAAGTTTATTTATCATCATGTATAACAATATCTTCGATTTGTTTATCCCCCAACTTATTTACGAAGTTAGGTATTAGGGGCAGGCAGCATTATCAGGAACTCGCCCCTGGCAGCGGAAAAGTTTGACACGTCACTAAGAAAAGGGGTCACAACTCACAAGCCATAAAAGGTTAGAAAGCACTGGTCTAGGAATAAAACAAAACACAATCAATTTATTCCAAATTTATGTTCTCATAGCAAATGGTGTCTGGTGAGGGAATTTGGTAGTGCTTGGTGGCACCCAGAAACCGGCTCCGTGACCCCAAAAGGTCAAAGAGCTGAGTTTTAGAAACCCTTTCACCCCAATTTTATTTATTATAGATTATTATTATAATTTAACAAACTCACAGTGTTATCAGCACCCGCAGTTGCCAATCTACAGTGGTTGAAAGGAGAAAACTCAAGGTCAGTGATGGAATCGCTGTGAGCGTTCAATGAGGGTCCTGCTCCAAGTCTGCCATTCGCATTGATATCAAACACCATGATTTTTCCTCCACCTGTATAGTTATAATAGGTTCAGATTGCTTATTTTGGGTTGTTTGCTTCGAACAAGGATATAGACAAGCAAACAATATATGTACAAGTAATGTAGGTTCAAATTCAGTTTCATATTATTTTCAGAAAATTTCTAGGAACAAGACTATTGCAATTATTCCCTAATACAGTAGTTTCCAACCGGGGCCCGTGCCCCGCCAATGGGGCATTTAAAGGGGGCCAAACTGCAAAACAGATTTTACTATTCCCTTTCCAAGAAAACTTCCTGTTCTTTCTAGTTTCTTTGGTTCACAAGAATATTTCATAAGGTGTTTTCACCTTGTTGAGCATGAATTGTTTGAATATAATGGAATTTGGAATCTACTAATCAAAATATCACTGGATTACCAAACAGGGGACCGTGAGTAGGGCTGGGCATTTCGAATCGAATATTCGAATCGAATCGAATAGTAAATTATTCGAATCGGTTTAGAGCAAATTTTCGAATAGCCGCCATCTTATTTTACTCTTTCCGCCAATGGTCGAGGTAAATTTCTCAATTTTTTTTTCATTGAAGCCATATTTTTTCAACACAATTCTGACTTATGACTCTTTTCTGTATTGAGGTATTGATGAAAACGTGTTCTTTTTATTGTCAGTGATGTATTCTATGTTTTCAGTAATTTATGTGTCTGGAGGACCTAAGATACTAAAAAATTTACATACAATTTCATACCTTCCAAGTATTCGAGATTCAAGATTCGATTCGAAAAAATTATTCGATTCGATTCTGAAATCATCAGGTATTCGAAAGTGCCCAGCCCTAACCGTGAGTGCTAAAAGTCTCTGGACAAGGACCTCGACCCATAAAAGATTGGGAACCACTGCCCTAATACACATGTAGCTCCTACTTGGTATGCTTGCTCTAACTGTTCACTCAAAAATAGTATCTATCCGACCTCGAACAATACCTATGAATTATTGATATAAATTAATACGTTCAAATTTGGTTATTTTGCTTTTGAAAATTTGCTACGAAGTTTGCTACATTTTGAGAAATGACATGAACCTAGCGAACACTCAGCTGAAATGTTTTTGTTGTCAAGATTATTTTTGTTGTCAGGGAGCAGAGCTCTCTGCAATTAATAGACCGATTTTGCCACCTCAAAGTATCTCGAAACGTTTAACCTACGATGCCAATATAGGATCAACACTACTACACATGCTACTTACTCGCAGACAGACAGACACAAAACAGAAAAAGTGTACCATGTTTAATAATAGTGGCAAATCTAATAGATATTTGATTACCGTATATTTGTTAATACAGACTCTCGAATTTGAATAAAGGACCCCGATCAAAAATCACAGCTAACCAATAAACATGTCACTTACTTGCAGACCCAACACAAAACGCGACCAGCTTAGCACTAGCAGTTGCATGGTTCCCGAAAGTTACAGGAGTTTCAACATTCAGATCAGAGATGCATTCCTCTTTCTTTGCGTTCGCAGTGAAAGCGTTTTTATACTTTGATGCCTTAAACTTATACATTTTCCAGTGATTTGAAACGAACAGTGAGTACTTTTACAGTAAAAGCGTTTTAATTAAAGGTTGAAGATATTCTAAACGAAAATTTGATGTTAGACAGGTTAGACTGGGAATTTTAATATTGGGCAAATAGAGGGCCATGAATCAGTTAGTTCTTTGGGGACCATGAGTAGATGGCTTTATCTAGTCCTGTGTAGTTTCGTACCACAATGACTTTCTAGTGGGCGTTTTGCAACAATTGTTGCATATATTATTTCTAACCCCCACCTGACTACGTCATACAAAAATCAGGTCACTATGACATCACAGTGACCTAATATGGCCCACCAAAATAGACGAATGGGTGTCCAAATCGCGCAACGATTATCTCAAGTCGAGCATAGTATTTCTCTCATTTTCTCGTCGTAGCGATCCCGATATGAAAGTGATCGCTGGCGTTAGTAAGTTTGTTATTGTTGGCACATATATGCATTTCGGGACGATCGTATTTATACTTTGACAAGCTATATGATGTGATTGGATGTTGTAGTCAGGAAGGGGTTAGGTTATGACAAGCCCACTAGAAGTTCTTGAGGTGCTGAACTACACCTGCCTTATATAGGTACCTTTCGCTATGAATATAATCATTTGCACTAAATTAAATGTGGGCTGTTGACTTATGTATTATGAACTTTTTATCTGTTGCCCTCAATTTAAAAAGGCTCCAGACAAACCACTAACACATAATTATTATTATATTAGAGATGAACTAAAAATATTGTTCCGGTCCGAAATTGCTTGCCCAATTTAACACACCCTGGGTGAGGCGGAAGCAGCAGCGCAAATACGAATGGTAGATTATACAGGGTCCTAAACAAAATTGAGGCTTGAAAAATTTAAAATTCAAGTTATACTATTTAATTCAATAAATAGTCTTGCTGCACACTAACACAAATATAATTCTGTACCTTGGTCAGACGAAACGTTACAGAAATATATTTGTGTTGGTATGCAGCAAGACTCTTGAATCACTTAAGATAGTTATCATTACTCTTGCTACAGCATCATTGCAAATACTCCTACAATTTTTCTGTTTTATTACTTCTTTCATTAAATTTCATAGTTGTATTCAATAGGCAGATAGGATAGTACCGGTAGAGTCGGAACTCATAGAAAAAAATTCATGCCAGTACGATTTCTCCGATTGTGTGGACAAACATTTGTGTAGTAAGAATAAAATAACAAAAACCGCCCACCTTTTAGGATAGGATTTACATATTTATCCCGGGGGCAGTGGCCTAGCAGGACTCTCGTGGGCCCCCCCGCAAAAATATTTTGTGGAAATGACTTTAAAAACTCTCGGACATAAGCTAAAACAACGCTTTTGTTATTTTGTCAAAAAGCATAACATGTCGCTATTAAAAGGCAATGGTGACCTAAAATTTGCCGTTTATCTTGATTGCTTTATTTTTTCATACGTGCTTCCTCTTCTGCCATGTTTCTGTGTGCCACTGAGAGGTTTTGCTTCCGACATCATTCTGACACCCTTCGTAATTTTGCCTGTGCGATAAACTACAAGACGCCGAAAACAGACGACTCCCTGGCATAACAAAACGATTTGAGCAGAACTAACATCAACGTTATAAGATGTGCATTACTGGTTTTGCAATGCAGCTTTTGGTTTTGAGGCTTAAATTTCTAAATTCTAACCGCTTGGGCCCTCCTGCGACCGCGGGGGTTGCGGGGGTGGATGCTACGTCACTGCCCGGGGGAGAGGAAAGGCGATAAGACGGCTTATCCATATGGCGAACCACGGCCTCTCGTCCGGTTACCAATCCAAGTCGGGTATGGGATTAGTTATACTGTATTGTTTGTTTTCGGAAGCATGGACTTGGTGGTGGAGGAAGCCGTACCGGTAACCGGCCAGCGGTTACGTGAACCACCCAACGACGGTGAGGAGTCCAGCAATCCTCTCGCACATAACCATTCCTGCATGTGATTCGAACCTGCGAACCCACGCAGAGTAATTAGAGGTGCGGTGGGCGGCGGTGGCGAGCGTATTCCTAACGCTTAGGCTTAGCCCGTTGAGCCACACCGCCGCTGACCTGGCTAAAACTGTCAAATATCTGCTGAATGGATAATATGTAAACTTTATCAGATATTCAGCTGCGGCTTTTTGCTTATTCTAATTTCTCCGAACTGTAATCCTATGCAATCTCAAAAAATGATATTCAAATAACCAAATCTGCATATTCACAACTTTCACAGCAGAACTTTGCTCACTGCACTATGACCTTATTTGTTTACTCCCTTCGTCAACTTCCGCATTCATTTTGCAAGATGACTCACATGCAGGGTTAAATTTGAACTTTTTATTTTTCAAACTTTTATTCACACATATGTTCCTAAAAACGACATCTAACATTTTAAAATACCAATAATTTAACAGAAGAATTTCAAATATTGGTGTCTAATCAGTACAAATTGTAAATTTTGTAGTATAAAAGGTATAAGTGCTTGGCAAAATAATAAAATTGCAGTTCATTTGAAACTCTGCATTATTTTCTTTGCAGTGCTCACGTGAAAGAATTGATGCGTGAAAATGTGTACCGGCGTAGTGGTGAGCCGAGCAGATTTTCAACGAAAACCACATTTTTCGTGTTTGCTTGAATTTGTTGGTGCTGTTCTTCTCGTATTACAAACTCTATGCTGTAGAGTAGATAAAGAAGTTTATTTGAGAGAGAGAAAGAATTTATTGTTTCGTCAAACCATAAAACACATACAATACACATACAAAACATATAGAGGACTTGCACGGGCCACGTGACTTTGTTACTGGACGGCAATAAAACAAAAACGTCCATTTGGCTCCTGTCAGTTGCAAGTCGGATTATACGTTTCCGTTTTGTTTGGCTGTTGAAAATGGTTATTTCGTATTGTTCTGTTGGCTGTACGTATAGTATAGACAACGAAATGGATCTTCAGTTATATTCCACTGATTTCAAAAGATCCGGAACGTCGCGCAATGTGGATATCATCTATTGCCTATTGGCAGAACTGCTTGGTGTCAAGTCCAGAAGCCATCTTACTTGTGTTTCACTGTTTGCGGACAGCACTTCGTTGATGGTGAGTGATAATGTGGTGATAGTGTGCCGTTATCAATTTTTTTAAATATTCACAAGCTCCCTCATTTCAATGGAAAGCAGATGACAAACTACTGTTATTAGTAGGCCTAGGCGTGAGCCTAGTTGCAGACTTGACTTGTGTAAGACAGTAAGGAATTAATAATCAATTGCTATAAGGTATTGTTTCCCTAATTAGCAGGTAATCTATTACTAAGTGTGAAAGGTTGAATAGATAACTAAAGTTTAACACCAGTGGTCATGCAAAAAATAACCAGAATTCAATTGAATTTGCCATCTAGGAATACGCTCGCCACCGCCTCTCTGATCACCCTGGTAGTTTCAGGATAACTAACAAATAACTGGCTCTCCCCAGATAAATCCTATCCTAATGGTGCTTGTACAACTGATCCATAATGTCTTTTTATTGTCATTGGTAAAAAAGGTATGCTACGCGGAATCAAATTCATTTACGACTAGTGGCTGTGGTGGGATATGGACATAAATTTCACACTCCTTGATCGTTAGATTTTATGAAAACTCTATCTGTATCCATTATCTTACAGATATGGGTGCGTCCATGGAATAGATGGATGGCAAAGTATAAGTTGCAACAAGACCACAGTGGCACAAGACCTCAGCTTGCGTGACTTGATAATACATCCTCAGTATCCATTTATTGATGCTTATCGTAATGACAAAGTAACTTGTGATTACTGTGGATTGGTGGAGATAAAGTGTCTATTGTGCTTTAACGAAAGCAACTTCAAGACGACCCTATCAAAAAAAAAATTGTTTTGGTGGGTCTGGTAGTTAAGGTTTTAGTCTAACGTTGGACACCGATACTACAACCAGATACAGTTGTAAATGAAACTTACCGAGGCGTAATATTGCGACTTTGTGATCTGAAAGGAAATTCTGATGGGTAGCCGGCTAGCCGCAACCTTTTGTTTAAAGAATATTATGAGATATGACCTAAGAGTCTAAACTTTTATTTGAGAGGCACACTTGATTCGCAAAGATTTGTGAATGCGCACAGTACACCAATTTGTCTAATGTTTTGATTCCATAGGCAGGAGGTTGTGGATCGGTGCTGCTCAGGATGGGATATTTTTGCCTCTAAATGCATATTACGTGTTTTACATAAATCCATCGTGCTCAGATTCGACTGTTTTCAAGGTCTGAAGGCTCCAACAGCCTTATTTTATGGGTACACAAGAGAATTTCCAGTGTGGCATGCATGGGTCAGTTGGAGTCACTAACCTCAAGATATCTATAAGCAAGGATAAGATAACCTGGAAGTAACATTTCATAACTTAGAGTAAAAAATGTATCTTCCTCCACAGCCTTTTCAAATGGAAGATATGATGCCTCGGGGGTAATTTCTATCAAATATTTTACAGTATTATGGTTCTAGTGAAAAGGAGTGTAGGCGGCTTTTTTTTAAAGTGTGGTAGGTCTAGTCGAAAGACACATTAAATGTTTATGCTAACAACTGCAAATTAATATTGCAACGCATACAAGTTAACAGAATTTGTTGAAATGGTCCTGCCTTTTGCCTTTCTTCAAAATCCCCCTTTTTCTAACTATTCTCTGGGGATGGCAAAAATTCAAATATCGATGGGACATATAAGCAGCTGATAATGGGTTATCTTCCCTTTTTCCTGAAAATAAATTAAACACTAATCATCATTTGACAGTGCCAAGTTTGTGTATCAGATCAGTAATAAATTACCTGCTAACTAACAAAACAATCAGACAACACCTTCTGACCATTAATGAAGTATAAAACGCAACTATGCCTACCAATGTGGGTAGTTTTTAGGATGAAATTTATCTGTGGTTGGGGACAGATTGCAAGGTGGAACATCGTACGATTACCATTCTATGTCGGGATTAGTTAGCCAGTTATTTGTTTTAGAAGAATGGACTTCATGGTGGGGGATGTCGTAATCGACCAGCGGTCGTGTGAACCACCCTCAGTGGAGGGAGAGCTGCAATCCCCTCGCACATAACTATCCCCGCATGGGATTGGAACCTGTGAAACTCCCAGGGGGATCAGAGATGCGGTGGCGAGCGTATTCTTAGATGGAGAATTCAATTGAATTCTGGTTATTTTTTGCATTAGCACTGGCGTTAAACTTTAGTTATCTATTCAACTTTTCACACTTACTAATAGGCAATTATGGCAATTATTGATTAATACCTTACACGAGTCAAGTCTGCAATTAGGCCTACCAATAACAGTAGTTTGTCATCTGCTTTCCATTGAAATGAGGGAGCTAATGAATATTCAAAAAAATCAATAACGGCACATTATGACTTACCATCCACGAAGTGCTGTCCGCAAACAGTGAAACACAAGTGAGATGGCTTCTGAACTTGACACCAAACAGTCCTGCCAATAGATGATATCCACATTGCGCGACGTTCCGGATCTTTTGAAAACAGTGGAATATAACTGAAGATCCATTTCGTTGTCTATACTATACGTACAGCCAGCGGAACAATACGAAATAACCATTTTCAACAGCCAAACAAAACGGAAACGTATAATCCGACTTGCAACTGAAAGGAGCCAAATGGACGTTTTTGTTTTATTGCCGTCCAGTAAACAAGGTCACGTGACCCGTGCACGTCCTCTATATATGATAGCAAAATGAGAAAAATTAGATTTCGGTACATGACTGGGTAGTGACGATACGACCATTAACAGTCATCTGGGTCGTTTACCACCCAAAGCAAGCACCTGAATAATATTTCACGTAACCCCTGATCGGCTAGATCTAAGTGGCTAGCCTAGGTTGCAAAGCGTCTTCCTTCACGATGAAATGCATTGTTTTTTGGACACGGCAGTGTACATAACGATCGTTTCAATATTATGTTGTTGTTGTTATTATTCTCATTCGTCATGATGAAATCGCTTTTCTCTTCGAATACTGAACCAATTGCTTTGAAATGTTAAGTGGTTAAAGATTGATTTTTTTTGCCAGAGGGCTATTACTTTTACTTATTTCGAAAAGTTTGTGAACTTCAAGAGATTCGATTTTTATGTGTACAAATAAAAAATAGCGACACCTTGTGACGTGTCTATATACTTGAGCACAGCTCAAATGATGGCTCTGCAGTGTGGCTCATCGTGCTAAGCGTTAGGAATACGCTGGCCACCGCATCTCTAATTACACTGCGTGGGTTCGCAGGTTCGAATCCCATGCGGGGGTAGTTATGTGCGAGAAGATTGCTGGACTCCTCGCTGTCGTTGGGTGGTTCACGTAACCGCTGGTCGGTTACGGCTTCCTCCACCATCAAGTCCATGCTTCCGAAAAACAAATAACTAAAACTAATCCCATACCCGACATGGAATGGTAACCGGACGAGAGGCCGTGGTTCTCCATATGGTTAAGCCGTCTTGTCGGCTTCCCTCTCCCCGGGATAAATATGTGAATTCTATCCTATCCTAAATATCATTAACACTCTGCTCTCTCCTCGAAATAAACGTCAAATCTTATTCCACTACGACCAAACAAAACTTTTTTGACTGCTGATCGAGTAGCAGCAGGCCAACACTCTAAATAAGAAAATATTTGCCATCGCACCCCTGATTACCTTTTGCATGTTCGAATCCCCTGGGAGATGAATATGGATGAAAGGATAGCTCGACTTCTCGCCATCGCAGCGCCGTTACAGCAACCACCGGTCAGTCGGCATATGAAACGAATAACTGGTTTAGATGAACTTCTAACGAAAAGAAACGCTCAGGTTCACCACCTAATTAAGCCGATTCAACGACCATCGGGTATCGATGCTCGATAACCAGTTTTGGTTTTCCGCGGCTTCCCTCCCCGGGGAAACTGTGAATATTATTTTCTTCTAATTTTTACACGATTTGTTCTACTGGTTGGAAAAAATAAACTGTCTTGAGTGAGTTGACTCCCCTTACTAAATTTAAAAACCCTGAGTAACCCATCTCCTATATGACGTCTTACCCAGTGATTGGATTCAAATTTCTTGTCAGCAGGTTCCATCACAAAAGTCATATTTTTCAGCCGGTTCTGTTACAAACAGAACATTCACAGTAACCAGTAATGCTAACCGGCTCGCTGATCTCATAAAATTCCGCAAGACGGTTCTATAGAACCGGTGCGAACCGGCTTAATCCCACCACCCGTCCTACCCTATCTCGATCCTACCCCAAGAATCACAAATCTGTTGACAGTAAATAGGAAATCTGTTAAATCGGATAAAAATTTGTGAAAACTGAAATCAATAATAATAGATAGATGAGTAAATTATAATGAACAAAGAAATAAATTGGAAAAATAATTTCCGCGCAAGTTGCTTTCGTTCAATCAAAGAGAAGTCCACTGGAGTTTAGTGGTTACAAGTTCGAATCATCAAAATGCATCCCTCAGTGGTAAGAAAAAAATGCTGAAAATTTCGATTCTAATCACTCTGGGAGTTGTAATTGGATCAAATAAAAGATTCCGAGCCGTACCGGTGTGTTTTTCAGTTCACTTTTGTATAATCGAGCCATTCTGCCAACAGAAATACAGCGGTATCGCAATGTTACGGTAAACATCATTATGCTGGCGTTTTTAAATTTACACAAGTTCTAGTCTCGAAAGACTATTGTACTCATTTTGAGACCATGTTATTACGTTTTTAAATTTGCGCTAAGAATATTGTCTAGTGGTGGCAATCATTATACTCGAAAATGTTCGGAGCTCTACCAGTGTCGGTCCGCTTTTGAAAGTTGGAACCGTTACACTAAAGCTATAATTTTGAGATAGCTTATAAATCACTGCAATTTCGTTTATGATATAATTTGCGCAATTAATACAATGCGGGGGCTAGATTATGCTCAAGTAAACCCTGAGCGGTCCCAGTATCTTGTCCTATCAGTTTTCTCTCTCTCTCTCTCTTCTCCATATACATGGTCCCTGTCAATCATCGCCAAAGTCCATTTCCATCAAATTCTTAAACCGGTTTCTCGTTTGATCCAAACGCTTCATTAGACCTGGCATCAAACCTAAAGGGAAAAGAAAAATGCTCAAATAAATATACATCAGTGTCGCGCATCGGTACCGATAAGGTATTGGGGGGAGCACAAACTTTGTTGATAAAGAACAAGGTTGACTGAATAAAGTGTTCTTTCTTATACGTCATGAAAAGTGCTCCCATGAATAAAAAAGGGGGTGAGATGTGCCGTCTGAAAATTTTGATTTCTATCAGTTACAAAATGGAAACGATTTTTCAAACGATCAATATCTCAATATCATTTAGCAAAATGGGCCACTTTATGTCCAATGAGTAAGAAAAGAAAGTAGACACAATCCCCTAGAGCCTATAGGAAGTTTTAAAATAAATAAAAGTAATAACCTTCAGCAAAGAATAAAAAAAAGCGATTTTTTCATAGGAAAAAACAAACAAAAAGCGCAAGGAAATGGAAAACAAGAACACTATCCATACGTACATCTCGTGTCTAACAAGTATTAAAGCGAGATAGCGATCAGAGACCGCCGACTTATCGATCCAGCGGCGTGTATCGTTCGCTTTAACTCAATAGCGACACCGCGTGTCCCATCACTAATTAATTAATAACTCGCTAATTATACTAATTAATTAATCCAAAATCAATAGGCTTCAAAGATATGATGGATGCACATGCAAAATTTGGAGCAGATTCAACCTCGCTTTCGTGAGATATTGCGTAACATACGAGAGTGTCTAACAGACAGACAAATACCTATCAACATACTTACCGATCAAGATCAAAAAGTAACAAGATTACAACCTACCTTTTTCTCCGAACAAAGAGTTTGACGTCCTAGCCATTCCCATTCTGCTACTCTTGTACGAATCTAATGCGCCCATGATGTCAGCTGCTCTTCGTTCCATCCTGTTGCGAATATGAGAGACATCGTCATCCGAGAGAACCAGATAACTCTCTCCAAATACTCTCATGTCTTTCTCCAACGCACTTCTCTCCTTTTGTAAGTCCTGTCCAAAGATCATAGAAATAATGTGTTTAGAAATGTGGGTATTTAAAATGGAATGGTTTTTTATTCGAATCGACTCGGGCGAAAATTTCGAATTGCCGGCATTTTGTTTTTCAGTCCGTCGAAGGTCGAAGCAAATTCAATTTATTTTACAATCGTCATATTTTTAAATTATGACTCCTTTTCGTATTGAGTTATTGCGTGAACACTGCGCGATCTGACTGAGTCATGGATTATGGGTTTATAGGAAATGCCCAGCCTTCGATGTGACCAGACGTGGAAAGTGTCTAGGGACAGTGATGTGATTCAGGAGGTTATCGCGAACCCGTTTTTGGAATGAAGAATGAGTGCGAAAGGATTGCTGTACTCACAGGGTAGTGGTTATTTAACCGCTAAGCGACTACGGCATGTTTCACCACCCAATTCCACAACTGGAACTTTACGCCGGCAAATACTATTCCCACATCGATCGACTTGTGACCGGACGAGAGGCAGTGTTTCCCCGAATGAATAGCTCGGCATATCAGCTTTCCTTTCCCGCCAGAAAATATTTAAAAAAAATCTTATCCGGGAAGACTTGTTTGAACATTAGTTAAAAAGAAAATGAATATACGAACCTTCAGAAGTTGTTTGGATTTAGATAGAGATTCAAGACCATCTTGCGCGTCGCTTGGTTTTTTGCTGATTTTAACTTGTCTTGTGACCACGCCCCTGTTACGTGATTGGCCTGTTTGTTCGTGATGGACAGGTATCGAGATCGCCTTAGGCTTTTCTTCTTTTTTCTGTTCGTGGATGATCGGTATGGGTATGCTTTTCCTTTTTTCTGGAACAGTTTTAATCGGGGAGGGGACTGGTTTCGGGGGCTGCGGTTCTGGCGGAGGGGTGGGCGTCGGATCCCTTATAGGCGATGGTGAACCCCGATTTGGAACAGGCTCAGGTTCCATTACGGGAGATGGTGACTTTGGCGTCACCGCTGAATCAACCTCGTCGAGAAATTGCTTGTCGCTAGGTGGCGGTGTGGGTTCATCTTTAACGCGATCGTAGATCGGTTCTTGGGTTTCCCAAGCAGGAATAAAATTCTTTGCACCCTGCAATAAAAACATAAAATCAAAAATCAAACATTTCAAAATGCAAGTCGCAAATCGGTACTGGTGCGGTAAGGCTTTGGAGAACTGAATTTCCTAAAAAATGTACTATCATTCAATTGAAATAGGTCTTTTAGGATGTTTGCAAAAACATATATATACAATATATAGGTTGTCCATAAGGTCTTTTTAGATTACAAAAGGAATCGATACCTTATATTGTTTTGGCTCTCACAGATGTATTAAAAGAAGTAATAATACTTAAACAATTACTGATTAAAAACAACAAACCTGGTTAAGATATATTGGAAACTGACTTCATAACAAAAATTAAAACCATAAATGAACTTCATAGACGGCCTGTATATATATATATAGATTTTGAAGGCCATCTTTTTCGTTACTTGAGATTATTTGAGATCAATCGATTTAGATATTAAAAAAAGCGACTTTTTTATCCAAGCAACAATAATTTAACAAAACTACGCACAGAACCACGTATCAAACAATGAACTTGTTGAAACGTCGACTAATGGCGCGCTATGGATGTTTCCCCGACCCTTAACCCCAGAATTATTCTCCCATTGTTACGTAAATAAATAAAAAAATTGATGCTCGGGGAAACATTATTGGCAAATGGTCAATGTGAGCGCAAGAAATTCTGCCAGAACGTTCTTCAGTTACCTCACAGTAACTTAAAATTACTGTATTTTATTGCGGAATACAAACCTTTATCCACGGGTGTTCTTTACATTGATTTATAGTCGATCTTTTTCTGAAATAAGGAAAAGAATTTATTTTCGATTCGTTCATCTGCATATTTAATTTTAACCAGAGCAGTGGTTCCCAACCTTTCATACCTCGTGGCCCCGCTTCTTTTAGGCTTGTGGTCCACTTCCGGTGGCTTTCAGCACTCATGGCCCCCCGTTACATTCCAGTGGTATTCATAGCGTTATTTTGATTGGTAGATTCCAAATCCCATTAGGTTCAAACAATTCATGCCTAACGAATTAAACGAGAATATCGGTCGGAGACCGAAGACGTATCGATCGAAAGTTAGGGGATTCCCCAAAACAGAAACTGCGGTTTCGATTCATCCGCTCTTACTCCATAGTGACACCGTGTGTCACATCACTAATTAATTAATAACTCGCTAATTATACGACATAATTCATCCAAAATCAACAGGCTTCTGGTCCGAGATATAATGAATGCACATGCAAAATTTGGAGCAGATTCAATTCGCTTTCGGGAGATATCGCGTGCATCTAACAGACAAACGAACAGACAGACAAACAAAAACCTATCATCATACTTATCGATAAGTAATAACAAGTCTATCACTGAAACTGTGAAGAACTGGGAGTTTTTTTAGGGAAGGGAAAAAGCAAAATCAATTTTGCGCCTAGCATTGTCCCCATCCAACTGCTCCGTGGCCCCCTAACTTTCAATCGATAAGTCTTCGGTCTCTGACCGATATTCTCGTTTATACTTTATTGCAATCTTTATGTCTTGTGCTTATTTTCAGTATGGTGAAAAAATAAACGACTGATCAAAAGATTTATTGCTATACATACCTCGGGTCTTTTATTAATAAGCGTTGGATAAAATCTTTCGCCAAGTCGCTCGTTTCTCCGAAATATTCTTCGTCAAACTCATATTCAACTTTTGTGATGTTGTCGAATGTTTCTGTCTTGTTGTCTCCGAGAAATGGCGAGCAACCGCTTAACCTGTGACGTATTAGAATTATCATAGAATAAGGAAGTAAAACAGGAAGTAGGAAACCGAATATCATAGTCAGAGCCGACCTATGACTCAGTATGCCCGCATTTTCATAGGCCCTGCGTCAATTATAACCTTATAATTTGATGAAATATATACTCAATGACTTCGTGTAATAATCGTGATTTTGACTTTGAGACGGATAAAATCTTGATTTTTAGCCGTTATTTTTATCTCTAGTCAGAGTAGGCTCAGCGTAATTCATTTCGCATATGCCTCAGCAATAGTTAAGGCGGGACGTGCGTATTATGAACCCTAACCTAGTAAGAATTTGCTGATTATAACGTTTGGCATTGAGAGAATTTTTCCGACCGAAAGTAAGTGTCAAAAAAGGCTGCGGCCACCATTACAGCTATATGCGAGCAAATTAAGTTGTTTAAATTTCCAAATTTTCAGTTACTTACAGAATATAAGCGATGACACCGATGCTCCACATATCAGCTGGAAGCCCAATAGGTTCAAAGGCGATAACTTCTGGTGCTGTAAATAATAGAAGAGAATAGTGAGTGAAAAGGAAAAGAATCCTGGCTTTTGTGTGAAATTAGCGAAGTCTTGCATATCAGTGGCTGGTTGTATAGAGCCTTGTTTAAAATGTCGTTTAAAAGGCCTCATAGAAATGGGACTTCTTGGCTCGGGCGTATCCAGGGGGCGGTGCGGGTGAGGGTCCAATAAAACCCAATAAGCTTTTGTCACATTGCAACGGTACGACTTAACCGGAATACCGGCAGGTGCTCGCCACTAATACAGTCTAGTAATACTGTAATAATTAGTTCAGAAGATCCAATGTGCTGCGAAGACACACAAATAGGTTCGAAATTCACGATGCAAACGAAGAGACTTTATTAAAATAGTGTAAAATCCACGCTTAAAGCAGATAAAATAAGAGCGACAAAATACGGTCCTTACTCAGCGACAGCAAAAGCAAAGAAGGGAGACACTGCGAATCCGAAGCAGTTCACATATGCAGTGGTGGTTGGAGTCGAGTAACTGAATACAACTATTGGGCGAATTAGGGCTCAGACTCCCCACACCAATGCATATGCATTAACCAGACAAGAAATATAAATAAAATAATAAACAATAAAAAATAGTACAACTCCAGTCATGCCACAACATTTTTAAGAATTGAACTTTTTGATCCTCCGTTAATATGAATCAGCGGCGTCTTTTGGTCTGGATTTCAAGGCTGTAAAGCTAGTTTTGATTTCAGGTTGTGCCCTATGTCCATTTCAAAGTTTGGCTGCACAGGTCTTAGAATTACAAAAATGCGATTTGCTCAAAACCCTAAAAATAGGCTAAATCGGCTTTTCTGCTGCGATATTTACTTATCAATAATAACTTACCAACGAATTCTGGAGTACCATGGAGATTCTTCAACTCTTGTCCTGGTCTAACAAGCTGAGCTAGTCCGAAATCAATCAGTTTTATTCTCGGATTGTCGTCTTTGATGTCGTAGATCATGATGTTTTCAGGCTGTTGAAGTTGAAGCATTTTGTTAAGTTCTTTTTTATTAACCCTCTATCACGCTAGCGATATTCTGTTGCCCGAATACATGATGTCATAACAAGTGCTCCCCGTTTCAGATTTTGAGATCCAACACGCACAACAGAATCGACATGAAATTTGATCGAATTTCTGTTTCGATAGTTTATCATAGTGGGAACAGAAATATTTACTAAAGTATACTAGACTAAAATGTTCAAGTCATTCCGAGAGCCTTCAAATTTAATGTTATATTACCTAGTTTTGCTTTAGATTTAATAATCAAATGCGTATATTTAGCACTTAATCGTAATCACCAAATCGGCCGACAATTTATCGTGTATAAATAAATTGACTGATCTCTATTAAATAAAAATTATGGTGATACGCTCGGAAATATGATATCAGAAATGAAATAAAATTCTCCATAGATGGATGATTGCACTATTCATCCATGTATTGCACAAGGCGACATTGGGTATGTAAGATGCTACTATTTAGGATCTTTCGAATTCGGCATTGCCATTTTTACACACTGGGCGACGTGGCGGGCATAAAGTTTGAATCAGAGGTTTCAATGGCGATGTCAACATTGCTATGTCTAAAGCTTTGACCGACAGACCCCAGTGCACATATTAATATAGACACGAAATGCACCAGTATTGATTGTTTTCCTAAACGTGTTGTTGTTATTCTTGTTGTACTAATCAATTTCAAGTCATCAAATTCAGATTCAGATAATTTCTTTTTATCATGCAAGAATCAATGCAAACACAACACAAAAGTGTATGACGGAATTGAAAAAAAATTGAAATATACTCGTAAGACGTCAGAGATTCATTGCAATCGATAAGGGGTAGCGAAGGACTGTAACAGTCTTCGAGTCAGCGAAACCTGTTGACTGATTAATTCAGAGGGAAAAGACTAAAATATACTAATTTAATAAGATAATTGAATTTATTAATTTAATTTCAAAGATAAGAGGGGTCGCTACTACCTAAACTTTTCGACATAATCAAGTGATTTCAACAGCAATTGAAAGAGGTTTGCATATGCCGAAGTATTTGTTATTAAATTTTGATTTTTCAAATAAATTTCTTCTCATTAAGATGACTAAGTATTCTCAACAGGTAACTGAAAAAAGGATTTCCAAATTCGATGCCAAAATAGTGCACTTGATAGCCGGAGTCGGCGCCGTTTTCAAATTTTGAGTTTGGATTCAGACTCCCTTGTATATTTGCCCCATTTGATTAAAACGTCTTATTATCAAAAACATATAGAACATCCAACACACGGTATACCTTCAAGTCAAAATGTGCTATATTCTGGTCATGTAGATATCCAACGCTTTCAAGTATTTGGTGAATGACGCAAACTGCTTCCTCTTCTGTCAGGCATTCTTTCTCAGCGAGGTAATCGAACAATTCACCACCAGCCACTCTGTGAAAGGGAAATTTTTATACTGATTGATTTGAATTCGCCAAAGCGGGCGCCACAGCACACTAGTGCGCCGAGCGATTTGCTAAGTGCGTCCCGAAAATTAACGGAATTGTCTTAAATATAACTAATATATAATTAAATATCCTACATATTGTATTTTATGTAAATGTTTTATTGTTGCTTATTTTAAATGCTGTGTATATGATCTGTAAACTTATTTTACATTTTTATGTCGATTACTCTCTGTTACGTAATGTCTGCCATAGTTGTTACGTACTTCGTACGTAACAATAGAGGCAACCACAAGTTGCTTCAATTTCACGGACTGCAGTTTATGTATCTACTGAATTGATAATACAGTCCCAATATACACAAATTAGGTATTGCCATGGCTGTATAATTACTATACTAACAAGGCACGGAAGTGTCTTCGCTTCGTAATCTCCGCTTGCTGAGTATGTTAATCGAAATTATATGTTTATTTTGAGCAACGAAAAATTATTTTAAATTAAAAAAATTATTTGTTAGCTTGTTATTTTTGAGGTGGGGCGCGAGTATTCCCAAATTCTAAAAAGGGAGCGACTTAAAAGTTCAAGAACCACTGGTATAATATGACTCATATATAGTACATTCCCAATATGCACGAATCACAAAACGCCACGTCTGGATGAGTACTACTACTCAAACATGGAATGACCTTAGCTTTGTAATCTCCGCACTTAAGTATGTTAAGCGAAATGATATGTTTATTTTAATATTGTCCCATAGTATATTGTCTTGTATAGCCTAGTTCTAGTATAACTCATAGATAGTACATTCCCAATATGCGCGAATCACGTATCGCCACGTCTGATTAAGTAATACTACTCAAACATGGAATGACCTTCGTTTTGTAATCTCCGCACTTAAGTATGTTAAGCGAAACGATATGATACGCAGACTCCCTTGGGACATTTAATTAGTTTATGTGAGAAGTCACATTCCTGTGCATATATACGTTCTGTGAGACCTATAAAGATTTCAGCCCATCTTCTTGTAGGAATTTTCATGAATTGCGCAACTGGGATATCGCGCAGTGAAATCGAAATCTGGAGCCTTCGTAATTACAGAGGGTAATAGGGTATTGAGTACTGAACGCAGTCCATTTGGCTGGCACTCGCTAGACTGAATTGCTAGCCATAAACCCCACACACGCTTTTGGGGAAAAAAAATGCGTCAGAAAACACATAAAAATTATAAAACATATAAAAATTGAAGCCTGAATATAGAATCTTAAACTTCTGTGGAAACGAATTATAAAGCGGATCTACCCTCTAGCTTGCCTGTCACACCAAATTCGTCTCCGCAACTAGCATATCTATTCATTCTATTATATTCAGACATGCATATTCGATTACAAGCAATTTCTCAAGGGAGCAGCCATGAATCTTCAAATAGGTTCTGAAATTTCTAATTGAAATTTAGACGCTAGTGAGTCCGGAGGCCGAAAAAAGTGGGTTTGTAAGAGTCACCAGAGTCTGGAAAGCGTTTCAAGCCACGAAAAATTGATTTTTTCTACATTTAAAAAAGGGGTCCTCCCCACAACAACCTCTTCCTCTTGGGTATCACCCTGTTCTGTATAATAGTTCAAACTGGTTTCCTATAAAAAATTTCGCATCTTTAAGGTAAATCGTCGAAAGAAACACTTTTAAAACGTTTACTCCCAATAACTCACAATTCAAGAATTAAGGTTATTTCTTCTCTACTCTCAAAGCAGTCGTGTAGTTTTATGATCCCGTGATGTTCAATTCCGCATAGTAAACCAATCTCACGTTCAATGTCTTCACGTAGAACCTGGTTAAATAGAAATAGGTTTAATAATGTTGAATCTGCTTGGATAAGTGTCTTGTACCAAAAGTCTACGTGCGTAGGGCAAAAAAGATTTTTTTGGTAATATTATACGCTATGAGAGGATTCAGTATATTTTAGTGACTGATACATAGAATATAAATAGATATTGATATCATTACCTAACCCAGTGGTCGGCAACCACCGGGCCGCGGCCCGTTGCCGGTCCGCGGAAAGGTTACTACCGGTCCGCAGTAAGGTGTCACAAATATAGGAGTGGTAAAATAAAAGTGGAGTGGTAGGATTCCCGCCTTTTCAAGATACAGTAGCTTATCACTAGGGCTGGAAATGGTTAACGGTTACAATTTGTTTTAACTGTTAACTAACATCTCAGGTACGAGAGATACCGGGCGGGATAAGATCATGCGAAATTGTTTGGCACTAATTTTGACGTAATAAACTAAAATTGTAAATTATTACGGCAAACGTCACGACGCGGTTAACTTTACCTGGTTAACGGTTAAAGTGTTTTCCCGTAGATTCACAGCCCTGCTTATCACAGGGTTGGGGTTGCTTTGGGGAGGTCTTCATAAGATCTAGCATGGGGTAGGGGCAGTGGCGTGCCTAGAAGGGGGCAACCGCCCCGGGCAGCACATTGTAGGGGGTTGCAGAACCAAGTTGTAGAGTTTGGGTTATTACACATGCTCTTCTAGATGTGTTCTTATTTAATTAAAAGCTAACAGTATGTTTTCTGTGGTGATTGTTATTCAACAAGGGTTGTTTCCCCGACCCTTGACCTCAGAAAAAATTTTCCTATATTTTACAATTGCAACATTTTTGATGCTTAGTTTAATAAACCAAACGTTTCTTTCCTACTTGACTATTATTTGATTTATTCTCGTGTATGACGACATCTATAATCTGTTTATCACCCAAATTATTTTTGAAGTTAGGTTTAAGGGGCAGCATTATCAGAAACTCGCCCCGGGCAGCAGACTAGTTTGGCACGCCCCTGGCTGGGGGATATTCGCATGATCAAACCTGGATGGAAGGATCTGGCCTGACATGACGTCACTATAACCAAATTTTGATACGAAATAGGCTGAAGGGTGGGGACTCGAATTTTGATTTGAGCGCGGCTGGGTGGGGGAAGAGGGCTTGGGGGTCTTTCATATAAGCGTGGATATTTTTAGTTGGAAATTTTTTTTTTTTTTGGGGGGGGGGGGTTCTTAATATGAAGCAATTGGGCTTTGAAATAAAGCAGTAACGGTACTTACCCCTCTTCTGCTGGCCTTTGCTCTCTTCTTTTTGATACATTTTGCTGCGAACTGCTTCCCCGTTGAAACGTGTTCACATTTTCGAACAACGGCAAATTGTCCACTGGAATATATAAATTATGGTGATATACTGATATAGTGAGCTTATTTTTCATTCACGTGTCTATAGATAAGGGGGTACACAAGAGGTGGGGTGCGGTAAAATTTCCGTGGCTTTTCACACAAGGCTTTGTTTAGTGTGGGGGTGGGGATACGTCGTAAAAATCCCTCTATACGGTAGCACACAAGCCCAAACATAAAGACCCCGGTTCAAAAAAACATGACAGCCCCCTGGAGTAGTGCTTACTTGTACAGACCCTTGTTCTGGGTAAAAAAACGTGCACACCATCAGTAATACGAGGTGTGGCTAAAAAGAAACGAGACTGACGTCACAGACTGCGCAACACGATTAACCATTGGTAATCAACACTTTTACAGTGTGGTGTAATATGTGTTCTTTGTTCAACAGCTTTTTTGACACAATATCGCAATTATTTTTGCTCTTTAGGAGCCATAGGTGAATGTGATTAATTGCTTGTTGAAAAAAAAATTGCCGTGCGAGATCTGATTGAGTTTTTTGGCGATAGGGGGTTCAATTGCAGAATGACGATTGAGCAATGAATTAACATTAAATTTTGTGTCAAACTTGGAAAAACGGCGACTGCGACTTTGAAGAAATTGTAAGAAGTTGTAACGAATTTGGTAGCTTGTAAGCCAAACTGTAGAGAATCCAGTATCTATCTGTATTATAAGCTACTGTCTAGATCAGGGGTAGGTAAGGTTTTCGGACCAGAGGCAATGCATTTTGCCTACCTAGACTGGCGGGCAATGTTCCCTCTAATTTTTTGTAGTATGTGTGCACAGAAATTTTGGTATGTGCGCACTTTTTTGGAAATGACTAATATTTGTGCAAAAACCAATGAAGAAATTTCGGCGTTCTAACCGGGTAATGGGTGAGCCAACAACAAACTTTCTCAACCTGCCAACAGAGCATATTGTTACATTACATCGAAATACGTCTGTGCGCAGTAAATCTATGCGTGTGCGCACCCTCTGAAAGCTGTGTGCGCGCGCATGTAAGTGTGCGCGCATGTAAGTGTGCTGGCGCGCCATGTAAGTGTGACATAAAAAGTTACATTTTATGAACAATATTTACAGGGCTACAAAGCAAATGTGGGAAACGATAAGCCTCGTGTTAAAACTAAATTTAACCCCAATCTCAACAAATTCCTTGAGTTATTTTTAGCTAAAACATTAAAATTTGGTTCAGTTCAGTTGTGACAGCATCAGGCGGGCAGGTTGAATTACCCAACGGGCCCTTCCCACTCACCTCCCTATTTCCTCTGTTATTGTGAAATGCTCTTCCACATTTTCCTGCTTTATTGTGATCGTCATTGTATTTGTTTTATATGGAACCACATCACTAGATATAGGAATTATTTACTAGAGATCTGTGATAGAAAATAAAGTGTTCATGACAGTGGTCAAGAGCGTAGCCAGAAAATTTTCAAATGAAGTGAGGCCGTAGGGTCACCATATTTGGAAAAGCAAAATTCCGGACAGTTCATGAATATTTTCATGACCTCGTAGTAAAAAATATGCGCACGGTACGAAATAACGAAGTTCTTTATTAGCAGTGTGCACAGTACGATTGCAGATGCAGTAAAATTCCGGATTTCGGACATTCAAGCATTTTTTAAATTCTTCCCGGACGCAAAATTTAACCCTAAATTCCGGACATGTCCGGAATTTTCTGGAGGGTATGGCAACCTTAATTTAGAACTTCAAGACATTTGAAAATCCACGTTTTCCCTTTACCCTAATGGCAACCCTAAGTGAGGGAACTAAAATTTTTGTTTGCCAAGTTAGATCGAAACAGCTTGCGAGTTCGGCCGAACGCCGGAAAACGTATGTTTTCATGAGTCTTGGGATCTAAAGATCTTTTCAAACTACGGAAAATCACTATGTATGATACAGAAAGATGCTTTTATTTTTTTACATTTCACCCCCCACTCACCCCCCCCCCCCCCCCCCCCAACCCCCCTGGTTACGCCCCTGGCAGTGGTCCCCAACCATGGGACCGTTTACCCCCAAGGCGGCCAAGAAGCAATTGAAAGGAGGCCACTATGCTAGGTGGAAAACTGATTTTACTTTTCGCTTCACAAGGGAACTCCCCTTTCTTTCTGGTTTCATTGTTTGATAAGGTTATTTCGCAAAGTGTTTTTTCGGGGCTCCCGAAGTATGCGAACCAAGATGGTGGACATCGGAATGTAATATGTGTACTAGGTTAGGGTTAGGCCATAATTTTAGGTATAAATACTACGGGAGGCTCTTGGCTAGTCTTCGAACTGATAATAGGACTAAAATAAGGAAAATTGGAAAAAAATTATGGCCTAACCCTAACCTGTTACCCATGTTACGTTCCTATGTCCGCAATCTTGGTTCGCATACTTCGGAAGCATCGTTTTTTCTTTGTTGAGCATGAATTGTTTAAAAATAATGGGATTTGGACAGAAAACAGAAAAATGCTTTTTTCATTACAAGGGATCCAACTCTGAAAGATTCACACGGAAAGTATTCGTCATGATTTTTGATTCGTGTAAACGATAATAAACTGAATTTCACCGTTTTCGTCCCCGCTTGTTTACTCAAAATCTGCCCCTGCGATTTATTTCTTACGCTACATGTCAGGTGAACACGAATCTTTCTATTTGCAACACCATCTAATTTGAATTTTGGACATTTCAAACTTTAACTAAGGTTTTGTTTGCTCTCCTGATTCTGTAAATCACCTGTTAAGTATTATTCCACTCCGAAGACAGCTCCGCTATTAATATTATTTTTGAACTACGATATCAACATAATCAAGTCCAGGCTGACTGATACAGCAAAGCCAACTTATCCAGCAAGCTTGTCTCGAATAGTTATGTCAACTTGAACGAGAGACATGCACCGTCCTTTACGTTACACTAATTACCCAATCGATTTATGGCACACGCACAAAATCAACTGTGAAAAAAATTGAAAAATAGTGTAGTATTTCATGGTAAAGCCTAGTATTGAATTCTAGGTTTTCCATATTCCTCTCATGGGGGGGGGGGGGGGGGGGGGGAACGTACAGAATATAAGATGAAAGGTTTTGCCAATAAGAAATGGAACGTGTTCACTCACCTGAAATAATTGAATTATTTCATACACGCACAACCATAGAGGAGTTATAAGTAAGAAGAATGCGCTAACTCACATAGTAAACAAAAATAATAATAAAAAATAAATAAATAAAAATTACTTGCCACACCATATTTTTAATTTTATAATGTTTGGTTCTGCCAAATTGACCGATTTTCTAAATGGGAGTGAACAGTAAAAAGAAACATATTGCCAAGCTGATTATAGTTGGAGTCGAATCCCGAATTGCTCAACCTAAGTTGCCAGAATTGGGTGCAGGCGTCTCGTTACAAGCTTACACAGATATATTTCTGTAACTTTGATCAGACGAACGTTACACTAAAAAATTTTCGTTGGTCTCGCATGAAAAAACTATTCTGCCGTAAAATAGGAGTCCGTGGCTTTTTATGTTCACCCCAGAGGGCAGAAAAATCCATTATTGCTACTGTACTAAAGTTCCGAGGAAGACATAATGACAATTAAGGTATTTGATTAACAACAATTTTTTGGAAACACAAATAAAAACCGACAAATTTCGCACAAAACGACGAGAAAAAGCCAATGTTTACAACCATGCATGAATATCTGTCTGAGAGACAGAAGTGTCAGAGCGTCCCACAAATAGCGATTATTACGTCATTGTTGACTCATTGCCGATGGATCATTGTTACGGAAATAAAAAGGAAATCGATGCTCTGGCAAATATCCATAGCGAGAGCTAATGGATATGATACACACTTAATTTGTAAGGTCAACCATTATCTAATGCTGGGCAACATAAAGATTTTGAGTCGGGCCACGAAACTAATAAAAATTGCTAGTTTTATTTATGTCACAATAGTTAATTTTGATTGAAGCAGTAATCAATGACGATGCTGTTTTCTGCTACTGAGAGGTAATTCCCATTTTAATCATAAACGTTTAAGTGTTTATTTTCGTAGAAAGATCTTAATTTTTCTTGTAGTTTTCCCCTTGCAATAAAAAGTTGTTGGGCCACAGGAATTTTTGGGCAAAAAAAATGGGCGACGAAAGAAAAAAGATTGAGAACCACTGCTCTAAGTGCACTTTAATTAAACTGCACCTCAGTAGGCGACGTATGGTAGTTGACGTCGGCCTGTAGTTGCTATTACGCGGCCCTGAGCGAAATAAATTGCGCGTAGCAAACTCTCGGAATAGTAATAAGACTGAAAATTATGATTTTGTAATGAAGAATAAATTCGATTTTCACATGTTAGTACAGAATCGCAATTAAAGTAATTTGCGACACTTGCACGCGGTGATGTCATTCAGTATACGGGGTTGTAATTTATGTTTGCATGGGAAATCGGTTAATCTACATCTGAAATTTGCGTGGAACCTATGGAAGATTGACTGCGGCCGCATAAGTTTCGGTGGCCTTAGGCCGTCTCGGCAACGCTTCAAATAATGGTTCCATTACATTTGAACCCATGACAATTGCACCTGCATACTTTTGCACCTATGGAAATTTTTTTTTGTTTTACGGATATTTAAACCCATACTAACCCTAACCCATGGGTTTTAGCACCCGCATATAGATTGAACCCGCGGATATACACATGGGTTCAAATGTACGTGGGTTCAAATGTACGGTCACCATAAATAGTACCTTCTGCCGTTGACAGTACCTACACCGCTTGCTTGCCTCGAACCATTATTGTATGTACATTCCATAGTAGTAACCGTGATTCAAGATGTGTGTTCATGATTTCATTTATATGTATGCTATTACAGTGGTGACCGTGCATTTGAACCCACGTACATTTGAACCCATGTGTATATTCGCGGGTTCAATCTATATGCGGGTGCTAAAATCCATGGGTTAGGGTTAGTATGGGTTCAAATATCCGTAAAACAACAAAAAATTTCATAGTTGCAATAGTATGCAGGTGCAATTGACGTCGGTTCAAATGTAATGGAACCTATTACAGTATACATGTACAAAGTTCGTCAATATTTCGTCGTGCAAGAAATCACAAAATAATACAGAATACAAGATACTATACTATACTAAATACTATAGAACTGTGTGGTGGTTTTCGGTCAATTCACCGAAAAAAATATTGTGAAATGAGTTTTTTAAAATTGGCAATAACTATCCGGTGAACCGGATAATTAAAATACGGATTACCCGGATATATTCGTTATCCGGATAGTAAAAATTATAGGTATCCGAACTAACCCTAATTGATTTCTTATTGACCGATATGCGATATGTGAGGCGGTCTAGTGGTTGGAGCGTTGGAATGGACTTTGATGCGTTTCGGGTTCGAACCCCATGCCCGCTGACTTGCACAGTTTGTAAATAAATTGGGGGCCAAAGTGGTAGGATTCCGGCCTTTTCAAAAGACATTAGCTTATCACTAGGGCTTAAATTGGTTAACGGTTACGATTTCTTTTAACCGTTGACTGACATCTCAGGTACGAGAATGGTTAACGGTTACGATTTCTTTTAACCGTTGACTGACATCTCAGGTACGAGAGATATCGGGATAAGATCACGCGAATGCTTTGTACCAATTGTGACGTAATAAGATAAAATTGTAAATTATTACGTCAAACGTCACGCCGCAGTTAACCGGTTAACTATACCCGGTTAACGGTTTTAAAGTGTTTTCCCGGAGATTCACAGCCCTACTTATCACAGATCAGTGACAGCCTTGCTAGACCACAACTTGGGTTGTCTTATCACTTGGTTCCATTACATTTAAACCCACGACAATTGCACCTGCATACTAATGCACCTATGGAATTTGTTTTTTGTTTTACGGATATTTGAACCCATACTAACCCTAACCCATGGGTTTTAGCACCCACATATAGATCGAACCCGCGGATATACACATGGGTTCAAATGTACGTGGGTTCAAATGTACGGTCACCTTATCACTTCGTCCTTTTGCTACTCAGCATTTTCATAATGTAATTATTTTTTGTGACGGGGTGCATGCCATACACCTGTGCCTTAAGCTAACACGGCTTAAACATGCATTCCGTCTCTGTTATAACGTTTATCTATTATGCAGATAAGTTTAAATTTTTAAGGAAAATGAATAGACATATCTATAAAACTTGCACATTGCACTCATGTCATTTTTCAACAACACGTGAAAGTCCAAGTCAAATTTACACTTATTTTCAACAGTTCGGCGTAGCAATAATAAAATTTACAGACGGGCGTGGATTACAATTACTTCGAAGCGCGTTTGTAATTAAAGTAAATGATTCCTTTTTTCTGTGTTTATTAGCTTTTAAGTGCAGTACTTA